ACAAGATAGTGGACAAAGTGAACAATAGATAATGGCGACAAGAATGATATGAACAATAAGCACAAGTGAGACGCCAAGACAATCACAAACACACAAAGATGATCACGGAGTTCGGACCTTCCGTCCTACGTCTCCGCTCCCCACTCCCGGGGAGAAATCCACTATCAACCGGGTTTTCTACGTTCACCCGAATAACGTTTACACCTCACAGTATCGGTTTTCAACGCTCACCGATCAACGTCACTCCTCACAATCGGTTTTCTAGTTCACCGAAAACTTTACAACACACTCGGTTTCTAGCTCACCGAAAACCTTACAACACTCACAATGTAACAAATATAAATTTGTTCTCTACAATAGATGAGAACACAATGAAAGCACAACTCAAAGTTACAATCACTCAACACCCAACTATACTATGTATGTAAATACTAAAAGCTCAAGTGAGTGTGTGTAACAATGAGATTCAATAAAACTTAACTCAATAAGAACTAGCAATAAAAATTGATATGAAATTCAATAGTAAAAATGCTAGGAAATAGAGTTAAGGAAACTTCTCTATAAACACAAAGAGAGGATGAGAGGATATTGAAGATGAATTCCTCAACAGATGATGCAAACTCCTCTTTGTAACAGCAAACCCCAAAAACAAACTAAACAAACTCAAACCCTTGTTTAAAACTTTCTTAAACTTGTTTTTAAAACTCTCTTAATCAGTTTGAAAAGACATCAGCAATGGGGTATATATACCCACTAGAAATCTCAGCAAAAACCCCCAAAACAAAATGACCAAAAACCCCAGCAAACAGCTCAGAGAAAGAGCCGTTAAAAAGCAACGGCTATATTGTCGGTCGACCGAAAATTCCGTCGGTCGACCGATGAGAGCAAAAACACGAAGAAAACGTTCTGGACCATCGTCGGTCGACCGGAAATTCTGTCGGTCGACCGATTTGAGCTCTCGGTCGACCGGACCGGTCGACCGATGACTCTCTGGAAAAATACTGACGAATGGTCAATTGACCGGTCGACCGTACCGGTCGACCGTACCGGTCGACCAAAAACTGACATTCTAGAAAAAGTGCGGTCGACCGAATACAGATACTTCTGAAAACTGTTTATCTGATTTTGAAACACTGTTTAAAAATATCAAATAAATTCCAAAAAATGTAAAACTTTGGGGAATGATTGTAGACATGATAATAAGCATGCTACAGTGACTGGTTATTAGAAAGGACCTCTCAAATGAAAACTATCATCATTTTACAAAATAGTCCAAAACATGAAAATATGAGATACTTGAATTTTGATGTTTTGACATAAACCAACTTTTGAAACTTTGTGAAATGTTTTTATAGACTTAGTAAAACATGTATAAACTGATATTGAAGTCTATAAACTAAGAATACAATATTTTCACAAAATTGCATATTCTATGCAATGTTTTCAAAAACATAATAGAAAATATGAAATATAGAATTTCATATATATAACCATAAAAACTCAAAACATATGTATGTATATATATAACTATATATATGCATAGAAACCAAAACTTATATATATATATATGACTATATATATATATACGAAGAAACCAATAAATGTGTGTGTATAGATAATTGAGCTTAGAGTATATAACACACATAATATAAATCCTAAACTAAATTACCCAAGCTAGATCTTGATCTTCAATAAGCTCTTCTAGGTAATCTCGCGGATGAAGCTTTAACTTGGATCTTGAACTTTGAATAGCAAGGCTTCACCGACATTCCGCCAACCTCCTTTGGATATGATCGTTGAAGCTCTATTCCATCCATCCTCCAACTAAGTTGTTTGTCTACAATACATGGAAAAACACAAACACTAGACAAACAACATTAGAAGTAAATTGTTTGTTAAACATCACTAAAACAAGAAGGCCAACAATCTCCCCCTTTTTGATGATGACAAACAATTTACAAAAAGAAACATATGCATGAAGTAAACAATTTATATAATTTATAATTCACATGCATATAAACAAGAAAGAATATTCAAGAAAGAATATACATATACTCACAATATTTCTCCCCCTTTGACAACATCAAAAAGGGGACAAAAGGATTAAGAGAGCGAAAGCTCCCCCTATCAATAAGCATAGGTGAGTATAAAACAAATATAGGGAATAGCTCCCCCTATCAAAAAGCCATATGAAATATAAGCAATAAAAGATCATGGCAAACATGTGAGCAAGCATAAATAATATGCCAAAAATCACTCACATTCAAGAGATAATGAGAACACATAATGATATGTCACGATAAATAGGTGTCTCAAAATAAACAAGCCTAAAAACCATGTATAAAAA